TTTTTTTTTTTTTTTTTTGAGACAAAGCCTTGCTCTGTTGCCCAGGCGGGAGTGCAGTGGTGCTACCTGGGCTCACTGCAAGCTTCGCCTCCCAGGTTCAAGCGATTCTCCTGTCTCAGCCTCCTGAGTAGCGGGGATTACAGGCACTCACCACTACATCCAGCTAATTTTTGTATTTGCAGTAGAGACAGGGTTTCTCCATGTTGGCCAGGCTGGTCTCGAACTCCTGACCTCAGGCGATCTGCCCACCTCAGCCTCCCAAAGTGCTGGGATTACAGGCATGAGCCACCGCGTCCTGCAGGATCTTTCCAAATCATGTGTTTTCTACTAAGACTCCTGGAGAGATGAGTTAATTGTTTCATGTAAGGATTATATCTTGAGTTTCATTTTCCATACCTTTCAAAAGGAGCCTTACTAATAAACTTACAAACATTTTTAAAAAAGAAAACGGAAAGAAAGCACTCCGGGTGAGAGCCCAGAGAAAGTGAGGAGCACGTCCTGACAAAGTGGAGGGAGACAGGCCTCTGCTAGGCGGTGGCGGGAGACGCCACGGGGCTGTGTCCTGCTGTCGGACAGAGACTTTGTCAGGTGAACCTGGGTGTTCAGCTGAGGAGATCTCCAGACTGTGGAAGATGCAGCCTGGCCTGTTCCTGCTGCTTATGGTGAAATGTGAGCATAGACCTGGATATTCAGCGGAGGAGATCTCCAGACAGTGGAAGATGCAGCTTGGTCTCTTCTTGCTGCTTATGGCAGAATGTGAGCAGAAGGAGGGACTGAGGGGAGTGCTCTTAAACAAAAAGGAGGCCGGGCGCAGTGGCTCAAGCCTGTAATCCCAGCACTTTGGGAGGCCGAGGCAGGCGGATCACAAGGTCAGGAGATCGAGACCATCCTGGCTAACACCGTGAAACCCCGTCTCTACTAAAAAAATACAAAAAACGAGCCGCGCGAGGTGGCGGGCGCCTATAGTCCCAGCTACTCGGGAGGCTGACGCGAGGAGAATGGCATGACACCCTGGGGCGGAGCTTGCAGTGAGCCGAGATCCTACACTGCACCCAGCCTGGCCGCGCCACAGCGGAGCAAGCACTCGTCTCAAAAAAAAAAAAAAAAAAAAAAGGAACTAGGACTTGATGATTTGGGAAACTTTCATCCTGTCCAGATGGCAAAAGATGCTAAGAATAAGTGATTGTTCCCAAAAGTGTGACCTGAAAAGCCGAGTGTGTATCTGTGCATGCGTGAGGTCAGAGCAGTCAGAGTCTTCAAAAGCAAACCTGAGGCTTCCAGAAAGTGCAGGGGCATCAGCCCTTGGCCACCTCCACAGACACGGAAGTGGACAGGAAATGTGCCAGCGAAATTCCACGCCACTCACAATCTTCTGAGACGCGTCGCATCAGCCACTGCAAGCACGGAAGCCAGTTCTCGATAGTAAATCTCTTCTATCTCCCACTGGTTCGCTTCTCTAGATCAGCCCAACTGACAAATTTTGGTGCCAGAAGTTGTTGCAGAGGAAGGTCTTACAGATGAGTTCTCTGCACTGGTTCTGGGACTTCTGGAATTGGTTCTCTAATATTATTAGATTTAGAGACACTAAGGGCCTAGTTTCCAGTAGTAAAGAGGATATAGGCCAGGCGCGGTGGCTCACCCCTGTAATCCCAACACTTTGGGAGGTCGAGGCAGGTGAATCACAAGGTCAGGAGATCGAGATCATCCTGGCTAACACGGTGAAACCCCGTCTCTACTAAAAATACAAAAAATTAGCCAGGCACGGTGGCAGGCGCCTGTAGTCCCAGCTACTTGGGAGGCTGAGGCAGGAGAATGGCGTGAACCCGGGAGGCGGAGCTTGCAGTGAGCTGAGATCGTGCCACTGCACTCCAGCCTGGGCGACAGAGCAAGACTCCATCTCAAAAAAAAAAAAAAAAGAAAAGGATACAGTAGTCCATGGTGAGATCTTGCAAAATTATTCAAAATATTGCCATGGGATACCCTTCATTGGGAACTGGTAGAAGCACAGATTCTGAGGGAACAAGTATTTGCTGCTTCCAAACATTGCAGTCAAACTAATGGGTATAATGGGATGGGCTGGTTGCTCCTAACTGTGCTGGAGAAAGTGGGGAAGAAAAAGGTGAGCTCAGGCTCCACACCAAGGACCTGCCAGCTTCTATAGTGGCCCTAAAAGAAGCCCTTATCCCCTGTAGCTGCAGAAGTAAAACTGCTGAACACCACGCCTAGAGTTTAATCCTGTGAGCAGCTGAATCACAACAGAAAGTAAATTCACAACTGATGTTATTAACCTTTGTCCACTTGGCCAGTCCTGTCCATGTAAAATTATACTTCATTGTCTTTGAACGTGCTTTTCTCTGATTCTTTTTTGTTTTTGTTTTTGTTTTTGTTTTTGAGCTGGAGTCTCGCTCTGTCACCCAGGCTGGAGCACAATGGCACGATCTCGGCTCACTGCAGCCTCCACCTCCCAGGTTCAAGCGATTCTCCTGCCTCAGGCTCCCCAGTAGCTGGGATTACAGGTGCCCACCACCACGCCCAGCTAATTTTTGTATTTTTAGTAGAGACAGGGTTTCACCATGTTGGCCGGGATGGTCTCGATCTCCTGACCTTGTGATTCACCTGCCTTGGCCTCCCAAAGTGCTGGGATGACAGGCGTGAGCCACCACGCCCGGCCCTTTCTCTGATTCTTGATGAAGTTGAGCATCTTTCCATATGTTCTCTAGCTGTTTGCGCTTTCTGTTCTGTGGAGCGCCTGTGGCTGCCACTGCTGCCCTAAGAAAGGCCTGGCTGCAACGCTGGGAACTCGGCTGGGAAACAGTTCCCTGACTGATATAAACCTTCCCTAACGATGAAGGTGGTTTGCGGTGCTTAATCTTTACAAACAATGTGGTTTATGCTGGACATCACTTTCCTC